GTTTCCGAGATCCCCATGATAGTCATCCTTATTTGGAACACCATGTATAATTACTTAGGTATATATACAGGGTGGTGACTTGCATAACGCATCATAGGGATTTCAATGTAAAATTCATAACATGCGATTATTGGCTCCCCAAATTATTTTAGAGCAAAAATGTATTTAGGTTTTTTGTAGAAAAATTGTTTTTACGTCAATCAATCGCATTACTTTTCAATTTTTTGCATAATAAAGACGGAAAATTGGAAAAATAAAACCCGCACCTTTGCAATAATCTGTGATGCCATGGAATTTTATAATACAAAAACTACGCCAATATCCGTCATGCCATGGAACGTCAGCTATAAATCAAATCAAATTCTATCAAAAAGTATTATATTTAGAACAGCGAATTCAACATAAAGAAATACCAAATTACGAAAAACGGTTTCCTATTATAACAATTTATAATAAATGTTCGAATAAGTCACCATTAACTGCAAGACAGTAACCAAGTCGAACATAAAATCCATTTCGAACTGCTGCTAATTGATAACTGGATATCTTTTTGTTTTAGAAAATTCCATGGCATCACAGATTATTGAAAAGGTGCGGGTTTTATTTTTCCAATTTTCCGTCTTTATTATGCAAAAAATTGAAAAGTAATGCGGTTGATTGACGTAAAAAATTTTTTTCTACAAAAAACCTTAATACATTTTTGCTCTAAAATAATTTGGGGAGCCAATAATCGCATGTTATGAATTTTACATTGAAAGCCCTATGATGCGTTACGCAAGTCACCACCCTGTATATAAAAACGAATAGGTTGTGATACATAATCAAATATCAGAATTTATATATTGTGCATGAAAATTTTTCGAAAAAATCGTTTTCATATCGATTCAAATTTTATGCATTTACGACTACTATCCTGGTGAAAAGCATTAATAAAAAATGCGGTCTCTACAGTTATCTTTTACTAACAAAAATTCCAAATAAATTCACCGTGCATTTTGCGTCAGAAGATGCAGGTATTTTGAGATTATTATTGCCAAATGCATAAGATACCATCGAAAAACTGACGATCTTTTTCTTCGGTTTTTGTATGGTGAGCCTACTATTTATATTGCAATTTTAACGATTACATGAAATTTTGTATGTAGACATTTCGAATAAAAGTAGTTCTAATGTTCGCATATTCAAATAATGTCTTGATCCAATAATATATAAGTTCCGCCAGGGCGTGGGCTTCCGTTAAAAAACTCGACGCTAACCAAGATGCCGTAGGCGGCATCCATTGAACCTAATGTGACGTTCGATTCTGAAGAGGTCTGTAATGAGAGAGATCGGCTTGGAGGCTTTTTCATTTGCCCTCGCACGGACACGTTTGTTCGCTCTGACAGATTGTTAGTGATAACTGATAAGATTTTTTTTGCTACTGTCTGAAGTGACTTTTGGTATTCAGTAGGTATAGAGGATTTACTGTGTGAAATTTCACGACTTTTGAAATGACAACCTAAAATTGGTCACTGGCTCTTTAGTAAGTTCGAGGTCTTTCGGTATTAACTGGGGAATTTACGTATCCGTACTAGGAGCAAAACTTTCATATGCATTTCAATTACTAGGTCACAGAGAAACTAACTCATTAGATATATCGTAGCAATTATAAAATCTTATATAATTATAAGCGAGTTGTGATGCGGTGCTGCATCGTTCGCCCTCGCTATTGCCACTACCAATGAATAAACAATGCTGATACGATAACGCGTTGAGGCGAGCAACTCCTGAATATCATTTGGGATGTGATTCATTATGACTCGCATCCGTTCACGCTTTCCTATAATTTGCAAAATTTCTTTGTCGTCAAAGGATCGAATGGCATGAGTTCAAGGGTTTTTATCTCGACGTGTACAGTTAACAACCCCAACCCGGCAACGTAAAAATACTATTGTGGATGTGTAGCAATTTGATCGAAATTTTTATTGTAGGTTCCTCTAATAATGAAAAGAAGTAAAATTGACATGCCAACAATTTTTTATGGTCCCACACATCTAAAGGTGGCTTCCTTGTTTCTTTTTTTTTTCTTTCTTTTGAATTTTTATTTCTTTAAATCCAGTGAGGCCTTCGTACTTTTCATCTGAAAGTATGTGCGTTTGCTCCAGTATTTTTTGTACCTCCATCTGTTATTAGATATCACAATTTTATTTTGTATTTACTAAAATCACATTCCAGTTTTGGTGATCTTAGTCATCTTGTGCATAATGCAGACTTTAACCGTTAGCGTAACGTTTGCGAGTTATATTAGGGAGGGTGGATGTGGGTTGGACCAAAGAGTTCGACGTTCGAAGTCCACCACCGACTGGTCTGTCTGGGGTTTTGCCAGGCGTACATGGTTTTCTGAAATCTACGGTGTGATTTAGACATTGAGCGTAGGTATATTGGGCAAGACTTCAAATCCGCTAACTCTCTAAACTTTAAAACGTGACGCGGGAACAGTATATGCATTTTGGGTCAAGTGTGCGTAATATAGAGATTTTAAAGCGATTGTAAGAGTTTATTTGTTACAAAATCACATTTGAAGAAACGCATTCCTTGATTTTGCTTTGCTGTTTGAAGAATTTTAAGATCGATATTGCACAGCAACGTTTAGGTGCACTGCATTATTTTGCATTCTAAAGTGCTACAACAGACAATATTATGTTTACTTGAAAATTTTTCAAGCTGAATTTTGTTTTTATTTACCTTCATTTCAGAAATGGACAGCCGTTTATTTACCTTTTCTGGATCGTGTACCTCATGTTCTAAACTTGTACTATAGAGCGAATGTTTGTAATTAATGGAATTTTTGTTACCCACACAAGAGCACGGAAACATCTCAAACTATTTGTATTCCGCCAAAGTATGTCAGGTAAATAGTTTCAGTCTCTAACCGCTGCCTTTCCTTTATGCCACCGGAAATGTGCTCCAGTAATAATTATACGTCCAGTTCTCCTGAAATTGCAATTCAATTTTGTCATTGTCTTACCTTTGTTGAATCTAAATTCAGAGATTTTGTAAATTACAATTAAATTCTGTATAGTATAAGTGTTTCACGGTCACATTACTCTTTGCATTATACATGCAATTCATTTTCTTTGCAATTAATTTAAAGTAATGACCAAAAACTTCCATTTACTGCGACGTTGTTAGGATTCTTAATAGACATGAATGGGGTAACAGGGACGATCCTTATCCTATAGTTTATTATACATTTCTCTGTTAGTTTTTGTGTTCAAACAGTACAGACGTAATACATTAAAGAAAATACTTCAAGTTTACTCTTGTTATCGGTGTCATAATTTTGGAATACATTATTGCTACGAGGGAAAATAGCAGCTGTCTTGGTATTAGTGTCAGGTCTTATTTATTGTTCTAGAGATAGACGTACACATACTGACAATTTCTTTGTCAAAGTTATTAAATGCGATCAAAACTAAAGACTAACCACGGAGCACCCTGTGAAGGTAAAAATTGCCGTCACTTAATCTCCCGGCACACCAGAGGTACACCAACAAAATCGCAAGCTTTGAAAACTGCAAAAATGAAAAATGGTATAACTTATAACTACAAATCAAATTCTTTTCTTACTGCTTGTTCGGCTTGTCGAATAAATAACCAAGAAACGTTGTTTCATGTAAAAAGAGTGTTGTAGTACAAGAGAATGACTTTTAGGAGACCGGGGGTACAATGCGCTGAGGCAAAACAACAAACAATACGCATTTATTACACAGACAATTGTGCCGGCAAAACCCATTTTTAGCGTATTTTTCTAAGTGAAAAATCGCTATTGGCTTGTCGTCCGTCACACGTACCTACTCCGTCTAGGCCACTGAACCGATTTGGGCGATATAGGGCTGATTTGAAAGAGCTTGGTCCAAGGATTCCGTTCATATCGATATTTTTTGGTTTTGTGCATGCGCAAGGTCAAAAATTCGGTTTAACGCATGTGCAATGCTAACTTTTTATTTGTGAAGATATTTAAATAAAACTTTGTATGTAAACACTACGAATATAAGTAAAATTAACGACGTTTTCAAAATGTTGTTTTACGCATGCTCAATGTCAACATGAAGAATCTAAATGAAATGTAATACATAGGCACTTGGAATACAAGCAAATCTAACACCAGTTTTAAAATTCGGTTTGCATAATGATTTTTTAACTTGTATTATCATTGATACATTCCAATCTGTTTGCTCAAAGCATTGAATGGTTAAAGGCATATCTATCTATCGAAGTGAATTTCATCTGCTCAAATTTCGTATCATTTTTGGACTTAAAAAAACAATGAAAGGCTTTACCGATCTTAACCATCTTCCAACATGACAGACTTTAAGGCAAAGTAGTCCCCGTGAGACGTAAATAATCCAATTACCTGGAGGTTAGTAGGGAAGGAAATAAAACGCTGCAAAGCTCGAAATACCATTTACTCTGACTTCATTCTAAAGTCCCAGGATAATGGATGATTTAATTAATATTTTGAAAGCAAAACAGGCCAGATCTCATTGTGCCGCACTCTCGAACAAACAAACTGCCGAGGGGAAGACGAAAGAGCACGGATAAAGAAAAACTTTGACACTGAATAAAAGTCAAAAAATTAGTAAATCAGCATATGCATGATTAAAGCGCATTTTTGGTAATGCAGGTGAGTATTTTATTAGCGAAGTTTAAAATTATCGATCTCACGAGCTGCGTTAAATAATTAATTTTATTTAATTTCAATTGACGGTACGTCTTCATTTTGTAAAACAAATCACAAAGTAAATAATAAGTTTTTATACTGTTAGCGCTATCTAACGGTAAAATTATAGCACCTCCGAAACCCATATCGAAATTATTTTCTTCAATTATCGATCTCACAAGTAATCTAACTCAAAATAGACTAGACTGCACATCTACACTATAGCAGAAAGCTTTTAGTGAAAATTTGGAGTCTCTAGCTATTGTAGTTGTGGAGATCTAACGCGGACAGCCGGCCTGCCAGCAATAACGAATATAATAGCGTATTTTTTTCAAAAATGCGCTAAAAATGACACAGGAAGCAACGAAGGTTCGCTCTACCAAACTCTTGGGCTTTGTTAAAGATATAGGCGAGGATATAGGTAGTCATAGGCATTCTTGAAGGGTAGACAACATCGGGGAGCACAATTGACTAAAATGTCGCAGTGCAGGAACCGACTGGCAACACTCCTAGTACAAATAATAATAAATAATCTGGCCTATTCTGTCCTAACGTGCCTACGAAATGGTGCTAACAGGTTAAATCGATCATCTTTAATCATTTACCATGAATCGTTAATCAAAACCCACGGCCGTTTAATCCGATAATTCAGACAATTCAGTAAGAATTTCTCCCCGTTTCGAGGAGTTTTTGTCCCTTGTATGTTTCGTTTGTCCTCGGCGATATCTATTTGATAAAAATTTGGTATGTATAAGTTTGTGCTAAAAAAAAACTAAATGATTCTGCCCACCCTTAATCGGAATGTCTATTCTGAACTGTTTAAATAGTCAGTATTTAAATGCGAACATACAACTTCAACTAGGCATCCGCAGTTCCACTAATAAAAAGTATAGTGGGCTCAAACATTTCAAAAATCCGACAGATTTACACGGCCATATACTTTTTGACGACCACTTTTACATATGAGTGATGAATGAACAATAAAGTTTAAAGGTATGTCATAAAGCTTACCGTACAAAGGACCCATATTGAACACAATCAATATCAATATTACCACAACTCTTGCTCGATAATTCTTGACTCTCCGTTTAAATGCAACCATAAACGTAGGTTTAATATATTTCAGGTTGCAGCAATCTTTAAACATTTGCAACTTTGTGACGTGTTGATTGGCATCAGTTTCATCCATCCTTATTTCTTTGATAACAAACACAAAATAAATGAATCCAATTACATAAAACGCGAGTACTCCAAAATAAATTCCATATAAGCCAATTGCGCAATAAGATATGCCAGCCAATGCAGAACCAAGCAACGTACTGGCATCCAGCATCGTTTTCACTATTCCAATTCTTAAAGTTCTCGATTGAACATCAGAAATAGCACTAACATAGATGAACACGCCCATTGAAAAGGTACTAATTCCGCCTGTCAACGAGGAAGGTACACTGTCAAAGAAACCAGTAACTTGCATTGGTAGTTCGTCGAAAAAATAGGTGCATAGAATTAAGCCGATTACGGCAACGCACTGGCCGGCGATAGGTAATCCCATTACAGGTTTTCGTCGATTATACTTGTCACTCCATGCTCCTATCATTAGTAACAAAATCGCTGGAATCACACCTTTGATTATATTTTTCCAGGCGTTCATATTTGTCAGCTCCCGTTGCACCATGCTCTCTTGCTCACTAGTGTATAGTTGGTCATTTCTACTTGTTAAAGCGTCACAAATCGTATCGTTAAGTTTTAAATTTACACGGCAAGATTTCTCCAGATCCATGTTAGCCGTTGGTAAGATCATCAAAACTACAGGAAATAGATATAAAACTATCAATGGTTCAACTGTTATGTTCTTTAGAATTTTGGAACAAGTCCTTTTATTCTTTGAACTATCCGGCGTTGCTTCATCTTTAGAAGACTCTTCCGTTTCCATGGTTCGTTCTGTTTCCGGACAAACAAAGGGGTATTACACTCTTATACGTGATAAATAAATGCTTTGATGCAGACTTCGAAACATTTCCTTCGCGGTTTCACTTTCAGTCATGAACAGAAGTGCGCTTAGGAAGTGCAGATTATATAAATTTCGTGATGAGTTCTAACTAAGGAAAGCAACTAACTAATTTATGTTAAATTAATAAGGATAAAGTACGTCAGCAGCAATTTTCAACAAAGAGCTTACCAGCTGAAGAGTGCTGTGTCACATCACAAACCATGGTTTTACACAATCTGATGAATATTATTAATTATAATTCAGAAAAAAATTATCAACGACGTGGTTACAGTTTTGTTTATCGAATTGATCGCGATTTTTACTAATTGCACGGAAATCATTCTAACCTCCGGGAATTAGTTACGATTGTGAATCATATAGGTATTTTATACATACAATCATAAGCATTTGGAAAATAACATTGCTCAAAACATACCATCAGGACGACAATGTGTTTTAGTAGAGCGACAGACAATTTTCCTATACCACCCACACCTCGACCCACACTAACTGGAAGAAATACTGTTCTCAATATCCGGGTGTTATCTACTTAATATGAGCAAAAATTAAATACCTACTAACAAAATTCATACAGTTATGGACACGTGCAAATGGGTAATCTAATTAAAACTTTTCTCATAAACCAACCTGGTTTCCGCACGTGATTGGGTCGTTTAAGGTTGGGCCCCGTGTGATAGCCAACTAGGACATTGTAATGATGAAATCAAATAAATCGCTTATTCGGTAATCTCTAAGATAGTTTTTGTGTTGATATTTGAAAGCAGAACTAAGCGGAAACTACTGCATCTCAGTAGGAAAAGAGTACATACACAGGAAAAGTTCGTCATTGCAGGTAACAGGAAATATTTGCTTGAAATTGCTAGACAATATTTCTGGTCCTCTACACACCACCAAAATACAAACCCCATGTTTATCAAAAGTTATAGACTAGAAACCAATTTCGAAAAAAAAATTCAAAGGGCTGTAACTTTTGAACTAGTAGCCCAATCTTGGAACTGTTTGAAATTATGGGTTCTACAGGCCACATTCTATAAGACAATTTTTTTTCCGGATCGATCTGAGACAATTTTTTTTCGTGGCTCAAAAAAAAGGCAGTTATTACCTTCCTTTTTTACCAAAAATCGACTGCACCAAAATTTCTCGGGAAAACACTTTTTCTTATTAATTTTGGTGCGTAGAATCCAAAACAATTCGTACTTTTTCGATTAGACTTAATAGGTTCATTAACTGGAACACATGACAAAAAACAAATAATCCAACTATTTCAAAATTGACCTCCCCCAGTTAGCTGAGCAAAAAGTAAATTAGAGAGTTTCAATTGTTGTGTAATGAGGAAAGTGATATATTGTTTTCGTTTACAGATTTTTGTCATTTAGGGGAGTGCCGCTATTTAGTAATTAACAAGTATTTAGGGTGGAATATAATGGTAGTGAATCACTATTTTGTATAGTTCTACTTACTTACCTTCTACTTACCGCTGGTAACAAAATTAGCCAATAATCAACATAAAATGTCAAAACCATATGGGTTCGGTTGCGTAATATAATAAAAATGCAAAAACCGGTTTCCACAAACAAAACTTGTTGTTCCTTCTTGATGAAGAACTGTTGTTCTTTACGATATTACGCAAACCCTAAACTGGAACAGAATGCTTAAACAGTGCAGGTAATAAAAGGTGACTAAATTGCTTCCAAATTCTCCGAATACCAACTTTTATCCTGGACCGTCAGTTGCACCTTACGTTAACGTTTGGTCAAAGTACTCCAGACTTCGCAAGGGTATTTATTTTACTTACCTACATTTTTCTAAACCGGATCTTATATTTAAGTATTAGTCTGTTCTGGTGAATTCAAAAAGGAATTTACCTTATTCCCTTTGATGAGTTTCGTTTCAATTTAGATTTGATTTTCTGAGTGATTTTTTTTGCGCCGTTAACCAAGTGGTTTTCTGATCATTTTTATTCTTGACTTTAACTCATTATTATAATATGGATTCGGGGTGAGCTAAACGAAATAGTTTTGCTTACTTGACATACTTTATTTATCATTGCACCCCGGTCATATGTGTTTGAAAAACCATTTATGTTATATGCGTGTAAGTAATTTAGTATGAATAGACGAGGAAAATGTTAAAGGGTTGATTGTTCGTGCATTTTGTCTTCTTCGATGTCATGTTTTCGTTGAAGATATAACCATCTAAATTTAAAAGACTGATTAGGTTTTTAACTCCGTAATAGAACTTACCCCAATAGAATCATGGTTGGTATGCATGTCAAACTGGACACAATGTAAAAGGTTCCGGGGAAAAAATCAATTGTTTTCTTATAGACAAAGTTGTAGACCGATACGAATCCTAACGGAATTAAGGCTTCAAATATAGAGTTTAGCGCGTTCAATCTTCCTGAAAGTTTTCATGATGAAATATATCCCATAAGAAATACATTGCGCTTATGGAGATTTACATTGCGCCAGAACCTCCTTCTTTAACTACTTTAATAAAAAGAAATTTCTGATGATTTATGATACCTACCTTGTTCTTCGACCGATACCAATTTAGTTCCAATTGATCTCACTGTAATGAAAGTTGTTGGAGAAAACATTTCTACCACCATGCCTAAAATGTTTGCTATAAAAATTAAATCTACTCATGTGTAATTTTACCTATACAATACATTAGAGGTGACGTACTAAAGGCGCACAAAAAACCAGAAACAAATTTTCCCAGATAACAGATCATTCCAATAACAGTGTCGTCCATTTTTAAATATTTGGAAAGTATCAGTAGTGGCAGTACAGTTCCTAAAGCAATCAGATATCTCACATATTCGAAGGTGAACACTTGAAAACAGTATACCTACTAGGTGTAAGACAATTTTGATGCTGAATAGAATACTAAACTCTACCTCGCTCCACTGAAAACGTTTGCGAATAAATAAATACACCACACTAGTCTCACCTAAGGGAAATGTAAAAAAAACGGAATTTTTTTATAAGACGATATAGATCGATTGGCTGTTACTAATTTTAAAAGTAGTTTATTTGACTATATACACCTTCATATAGAACAACCAAAGTGCAGAACGCACGCACCACTTTGGGTGCGAATTAATCTCGGAATTAATTAAGCTTCGAAAGAAAATTAACCCGATCATTTGATGAACATCAACATTCCTTTGAATTTTGAGGACGATCGAACCACTTAATGCGAGCCAGGGTATAATTTCAACCGACGAATATCCAGTCCACCAACCCTAAAATAGAGGGTGTTCCAGTTCCTCAGAACCTGTTTCATTGTGACATATATTCGTGCACGAATTTGGTTAAAAGAAGTTTAAAAAAAAAGATTTTCCCATTTAGTTCAATAATAAGCCCGAAAATTCTTGTATAGTCTATCTCGACTTTACAGTACAGGAAAGGGGAACATAGGGCAGCAATGCAACCCATATGCCGATTTTATCCAAAGAAATTTCAGTCAGTCTGAATATTCAGGTAAAAAGCAATCCATTTTACTGAGGGAATTCGAGTAAGGTAATAAAATGCCATGGATGCATTTTGGGGTAAAAAATTTAACTTTTTATAAAACGTTCACGGATTTACCTACCCTGAAATGTAAACCCAAGTTACATTAGTCAAGTATACAAATTAAACTTGATTGGTTAGGGTTCGCGACAAGGAAGCAGGTGGTATAAAGTGGAAAGACAGAGAGAAATCGCTGGTGACAAAATGGTGTGAATAATTAATAATAGTAATTACCTAAGTATCTAACAATAAAGGGAGATTGTTAGCGACCAACGATCAGAAAGCGACCATTCTATCATAAGACGTAAGCAATCCTCTATAACGGAAATTTAAATTGTGGACATTTATAGGAAACCTAATTTTGTTGTAGCATAAGTAGGCGACACATTGCAATTAAAACATTATGAAATGGATAAATTTGCCTTTCATAGATAACCAACCAAATACTAATGATAAATGTGTTCTCTTCGTTTCATGCCAATGTAAAATTTGAAGCTTATTTTCCAAAAATATGATTCAAATGACATAATAAATTAGTATATTAAGATACAAGTGTATAATCAAGTCTTTAAAGCACGCGCAACGAATTTAAGGGCACGACGCAAAGCGGAGTGCCTTTAACGTTGCAAGTGCTTTAAAGACCAATTATACACGTGTATCTTATAGTATTTTTTATTATACCTGCAGTATAATTTAAAAATAAATACAATGAAATCATATTGACGTTATACTCGAATACATATCTAATTAAGTGGGCTTGGTGTTCGCAATTTCACGATTGCCATGGAAATGTCACGTGACGTTTGCTTATAAAAATCATCGTCTTAAAGGGCCCATTCACATGCGGATATGTACGGCGGACATGTACGCGGGACAGATCTGTATCAATTCGTATGTGTGTATCCGCGTGTTCGGCGTACATATCTTGCTCGCCGTCCGTCGATCAGGACGACGAGCACGGACAGCGAGCCCGACAAATACGCACGTGTGTAGTCGTTTCACGGATTTGTTTGCCGGACATAAAATCACAAAATAGGAACTTCTTGAAAATATGTTTGGAAATTTAAGAAATCAAAATGGAAATGCGACTAATCCTACTCCAATTAAACATAGTTAAAAAAAAATATTTTGTTTAAATTACTTTGAAATGCAGGCGCAAATTGTGCTAAAGATTTGAGTGATCTACAAAATGATGGTGAAACTGTTAGTCAAATACAATCCGATCAGTTATCTTTTGGTGATATTTTAAAAGTGAATTTTGAAGACTACGGTGATATTAACATTCCAGAACAAAATGCGCATTTTTGGGGAACAATTTAGGTACTGGTACAGATTGTAGTGCTTACTCCACCAACCAAGCACATCTAACTACTAATGAAATAATTTTATGCCATTTCCGAGTATATTCTGCCGAGGCAGGTGGCTTATTTGAAAGTTTCAGGTATTTTTCTCGAGAAACTGTGGGGAGATTGCACAACTGAATTTTAGGTCTTTACAATTCCTTCAAGTTGCTAAGTACTGTAACGTGGCAATTAACCGCTCTCTACTGGTAACTGCCTCATGTGGGTATCATTCCTCTCAATAGCTGGGTGAACATATTTTAATAAATTGTGCAAATTATTAAAACTCTCTCGTTCTAATTCTCACATGAGGGTACTTTTTTCGTTTCAGGAATCACTGTTGTGACCACAGTCTCTTTTTTTCGTATCTTCAAATAATACTATATATCATCAAATTATTGTCAGTTTCTCCTTATGATCCATACCAATTACCACAGCACCCAAAAGAACACAACCCAGAGCTAGTACTACAGAACTGAAATAGCGACAGAACGCCGCCTGCTCGTCTATTGAGATTTGTCCGTGATCTGTGTACAGCCATATCCGCCTGTGTGTAGCTCAACACGGATCTGTCCGCCGTACATATCCGCATGTGAATGGGGCCCTTTAGTGAATAAATATGAAGGAAATGTCAAAGGTATTTAAATCTTCTATCTTTTGGTTCATTCATTCAAAACTTCAAACATTGCCGCGACTAAAAAGTGGAACAGATTTGGAAGCATACCCTAAATTGAGCGCGTTTGTGGAAGCTTCAACCAAAGGATAGGTAGGTACAAGCCAAAGCAATGTTCTGCATTTACAGAAAGCGACCTAAGAGGATTTTTTATTTCAACCCCAGATGACAGTTTCAAAAGTCATACTTGAAGTATCGTGTGTTTTAAAGGCCTTTTTTACGCATTTGAGCAATTCAGGTATAATAAAATAGTTATTTTTAACAAGAGCGCGAAGTTCAATTTCGCGTGTGTATTTTAAAGGCGGCCTTTTTCGCGCTAGCGCAACTGAACCGATTGTTAATTAAATTTGACTTTGTCCCGTGCGCGAAATACTTTTTTTCACTGTTGACGATTTCGCGCACGTTGTCAAGAGCAACCTTACTTATTAATTAACCGATTAAAAATCTAGTACTTCGCGTTTCAGGAAAATATGACAGTTGTAGAAAAAATAAATTAGTATAATACCTAATCGAATGCAGGTTGAGTTTTTTTAGTAATATGATATGATGACTCGTATGACGGTCGCCAAAAAATTGATCCGAGCAATTGAAGCAAAATTAAAAAGCCGACAAGGTGTAGGGATGCAAATAATTACTTTTAGTAACTGGCAACACCAATATAGACTTTTGATTGATTAAAATTACTCCCTACTCACCTTGTACAGGGCCAAAAGTTAAACAAAGCAGCACAAAACTCACGAACATTCTTGCGCGCCGATTTCCGTCTCTTCGTTTAAATGCAAAGTAAAATGTAGACTTCATGTGTTGATAGTTGAAGAAGTCCTTGTACGATGTATATGTCGACTTATTTGCTTGTGGAGCGGCAGTTCCAACTTCACGAATAACTAACACCGTATAAATTAAGCCAACCACGAATAGAAAGAGCGCCGTAGAAAAAATTCCATACAAACCGATTAATCGATAACAAATTCCGCTCATTGCCGTCCCGACCATAATAGAACCCGTGGCACATATTTTAAGTGCCCCAATTCTAAGCGTTCTCGATTCTAGAGTCGAAACGGCACCCACGTAGCTGTAAACCGCCATAAACATAACGAACCATCCACCAGTTGCCGAAGTAGGTAGAGATTCAACCACACCAGTGACCTCCATAGGCAATTCATAAAAGAAATACGTGCACAATATAAAACCAGTTACGGTTATAACTTCTCCAACTATGGGAAACCCCATTAGCAGCTTACGACGGTTGTGTTTGTCACTCCATGCTCCCAACATAAGGAGCAAACACGGTGGTAAAACACTTTGGATTACGGCTTTCCACATATTCATGTTCGCCACCATTCTCTGAACCATATTCTCTTCTTCACTGGTGTACATGCTTGAATTACGCTGGGATAATCCATCGCACACTGACGCATTTAATTGCAAATTGACCCGGCAAGCTTTGTCCATATGCAAATTAACTATTGATAAAGTTAGCAGCATGCTTGGAAACACGAACAGAAACATTAAAGGCTCTACGGTAACTAGAGACAGAATTGAACGCACTCGTACGCAAAAAGTGGCTGGCGTCTTATCTTGCTCTTCGGCTTGATTGATTGATTGCATCGTCGACTGGCTAAAAATTCGTAAAGTTAAGTAGCTAGGTAACACCAATTAAATCCTCTCTTAAAGCAACTCAACTACTGATAGAATGCATCGAAATGTACAAACGAATTTGGATAAAATGTTTCTAACACATCAAGTTCGATGAAACAGTAGGTACAGATAGAGTTGACAGATTATGTCAATATATTACTAATAAATGATAAATAAAACCATTTAGAAAGCATCGACGATACCCTGTGACCCGTAACAAATGTTAATATTTTATGGCGCCAAATCCAATTACTAAAGCTTTAAAATTTCGATGCTATTGGATGCGCTCCTTTTTCACTTCCAATAACAGTTTCAAATGTGTAACAATCTCCATCTTTTCCTTTGTTTGGAATGACGTCTATTTACCGCTAAAGTAACATAAGTTGCAATCGTGATCGAATGGAGAACATATTTAATTTACCTACAAATAGCAAGTTAACTGCCTAAACACTTTTCCCAACTAACATTGTAATGGTTCCAGCGCCAAATGGGGTAAAATCCAAGATCTCCCCGTAAAATGTAATGTAGTAAAGTTTACAGAAGTCGTTTACACGACTCGTTCCATTTTCAAGTGTTAAATGAAAGAGGATATAACAATCAATACATCCTAGGGTAGGGGAATAATAAAATTGAAACAAAATAACAATTTACATGTCTGAAGGACAAATTAACCAAAATTATATAGCGGCGTCTTTAAATGGGCGACCGCATTAAACGTCAGATGACTTAGAATTATAGTTATTTATGGTATAAGTGTGTTATATTACAAATAAGTCACGCGAGAAAAAAGTAAGCCCACGAGGCCGTCAGGCCGAGTGGGGTTATTTTCTCAAGTGACTTATTTGTAATTAGCACACGTGCACCATACAAAACTATCCAACACCTCCTCAAGCTGGTTTAAAACGTGGAAATCTTAAAAACTGCGTGTTCCGCGAAAAGCTAGAGTGCATGGAATACAAAAGCAATAATTCGTTGCTATGGGGAATAATAAACAAAAAAAAATTTAGTCAGAAAATTTATATGGATTTACTTATGGTTCCTGTACTTTATCTTGCTAGTGAGTTATTTTACGTCCATAACTCATTAGTGGGTTATATTATACCTTACTCGTTTAATTTCGTCATGATAATGACTGGATAACATAGGGGTGTTGGATAAAGTAACAAAGAGCAACGCCGACATTTTAACAAAAATTAGAGGATAAGTACCTCGAATTTTTGTAAAAATATCGGCGTTGCGTAGAGGTTAAGTACCTGATGGGTGCCATGAAATCAACTCCTATCTATCCACTTTACGCTGAAGCCTGTGAAATCCCGTTAAAACACAGAAGAACATATCTTAGTGAAAAATTCCTCTCAAAAATTTATATCTTAAACAAAATCTTATTTTCAAACATAATCACATCGAACTTAAAATCTATGGCAACGATTATTAAGACAAACGTTGCAATGGCATTTAAGTAATGCTTAACTTTAAGGGATACGACACAATACCAAATATGGCGTCATCAAATCCGTCCATACCGACTCGTTTTTTTCCCAAACGTTTCTAAACATTAAATCGAAGGTAGCAACATCCAGACATCTTCTTCCGATGTTTGACGCCAAGCTGTCCGACGGTGCCGCTCTAATTGAGGTACTTCTTTCTGAGTATTCAACAACGTTTTAAGATTTCGTATATTTAATTTTCCTGGAGTACATCAACAAGGAATGTTCTTTTGAAGTCAAGAGAATCAATGCAGTCAGGGACACGTGCAAGAAGGCAAATTTGAAAAACGCCTCTCGAGAAAAACGTAGGTATCTAGGGGTAGTCGTATCACCCGCGGAGAAAAGTTATAAATTTTATCATTTCGAAAATAAAAAGCAACTCTTTGAACTTCTTCCCTTGACTTTAACACGCCTAGAAGTACATTTTACATCAATATAAATTCAAATTCGGAAATTATCACCACCGACAGAGTGACGTTGAGGAAAAAGGATTAAGTGCTAATTAGATAGGTACTAGATAGCAACGTTTTTGCCCTTTAGTTCTGGAACTGAGTTGTGGGTGTAAGCCGAACTGAAGATGTAAAAAATAAAGTAAGTTGGTCGTTGACCAATTGTACTGCAAACCTTTAACATATCTATGGATGTTTTTATTTTACTTCTCTACCCCTAGGTACATTATATTAGTGTCGGTACACAAAGCGATTTCGATAAATCCATAAGACATCGAGCTAATAATACTTTCGAACGTTTTCTCCATGTTTAGATAATGCATAATGATGCTCGTTTCTTCAAAATTCACGTCTTCCGTCGTCGCTCAACTTTTGGGATCGAGTGCATTGTGCTGGCGGCATCGCCGGCATTCACGTGTGGATTTTGATTGATTTTTAATTACGTAGCACCGTTTGATCACGAAATGCTTTGTTGTCTATTTCACTAGACTGGTCTAGTAATTGTCAAAGAACGTAAGAAATGATGGAAAATATGGTCAAATGGCCAAAAATCGTGTTTAACGGCACATATGGCAAGGGAAATTAAGTGCACCATAGAAACAATAGTAGTTACTTACTTGTTTGATACTAGTACGAGTATATTCTATGGAAAATAACACTATTTCCGATATATAATCCTCACGAAAACCTTGGGATGAACTGAGAAAAAGAAAATCCATTCAGTGCGAAGCCAAGATACAAAAAATAATAATATCGGATTTGTTTAGGTCATATCGTTCAATCATATCATACTGGAGATGTATTGAGAGCAAGAAGAGGTCATATCAATTATTCAACATGTTATGCTGTTGTCACACCGCTGTATCTTAGTTTAAAAACATGCACTTATGACGTTCATTTTTAAAATGATATACATTTTTGCGAAATGAACGACTGAAAGGCTTAGTGGAGTATTCACAAAACATGTTCTGGCTGCATCAACTCGGTGGACACCTTCAGAAAGCGAAAATTTAACGCGCAATGGTCACAATGCATCAGTGCAGCAAGTTTTCTTTTTCATGCTTCCTCGCCCTCAAACACCTCAAATCAGTACTCACCCTTTAAAACACACGATGTCATTTAAAAGACTATGGGACGATAATATCAAAGGGTAATAGTACTGAAACCTATTAGTGTGTCAAATGCACACAAACGATTAGCAGTCAACAAGTACCTAAGTAATAGGACGTATGAGTGGTAGAGGTTGCGTCATGGGATAGCGTGATTGATAACTGTGGCTCTGTGCCTTAGTTAGAAATAAGGAAGAACGCATGTTGTCGATTCCAATCTGTACCCCGGTAGGGAGTAGGTAGGAACTGTACAGTACTACAGATAGTAATTACGCCGCCGGGACACTTTGGCGCCGGGAATTAATACGGCTATAAAGACCTAATCGTTCTTTAAAGATATATAATTATGTAATTAGATTAAATATACCTAACACACTTCACTTACTTACTTGCATTAGACAGCAGCAGAACCTACTGTTAAAGATTCGGCCCAGCAATAAGAAAGTTATGCCTGTCCAGGCGCTTACTGTTAAAATTTCTCCAAAATCGAGTCATCAATAAAAAACACAGAATTTGATATGGAAATTAATCGTTAACGTCTGCAAGCAGCAAAAGCTTCAAAAATTTATGCAATTTGGTCCAGTAAGTTTTGAGTCATCGTTTTTCCGACAATTCGACCTGTAGATTTCGTACTAGGTATTGGCCCACCAAGAGATTTATCTTACACACTCTAACACAACTGTGATATTTGTATATAGCTACCTATTTTCCTGAGGTGGCAAAAACGATTAATGGCATTAATATTTTCCTCAACACTACACACTACTTGGATATCTTTTTAGCGATGAAGCTACTTACTACATTTTGTTAATCTTGACAAGTCTTCCGCCCTAGAAGTAATTATTTCAGCACTATTATAAAGCTTGTACTTTTGGTATATGCACTGCGAAAACGCTAAGCGAATTTTTTATTTTTGTTCGAACGTAGACATTAAATGATTATTAAACCAAGGATCGATTGAGTGTTGTAGAAAAAATTTTCATTCTACCTTCTCTTTTCAAGATGTATATACTGGTTTGATTAACACGCGCTAAGGTAGGAAAGACTTGACTTTCCATATGAAATGTATGAGTACCATACACACTTAGATTAATTTAATCTTGCACTTTATTAAAAAACTCTAATCTAATGATAGGATAAGGAATAATCAACTGACATATTGATGGATGATTTAAATATAAACACTAGGCAATTAGTACTAAGATTATAATCACTGCATGCAGTGCGAATATATTTCTTTTAAACTATAGTGATTCATAGAGTAATTAAATTTACTCAAAAACGTAATGAAACCTTCATTTGCGCCCTACTTTATTTTATGTCAGGGAATTTTAGTTCCCATGACAGGGGCAGTAAAACTTTACCAGACTACTTTTACCCAAAATCGTCTTGAAACCTTCATTTTCATGCCCACTTTCTGTCAGGAAATTTGAGTTTCCATGACAGAGGCAGAGTTTTCTGCCGCTTGTCGCTTTACTGATGGCCTCCGCTATCACTTTCCGGCCGCATTTGTGACATTTGTAATCTCTATAATGCCTCTCGTCATCACTGACAGATTGACATTAATCAAAAGTTTTATATACAAATTGAAATGTTATATTAAAATACGATTTCGAGTAAAATTTAATACAAAACTTCGTTTCGTTTAATACAAACATTATTTGACTCGGAAATTATAATACTCGGCCCCTGGGTCCTCGCCAGTAGGTAATGTGTCATTTTCCTAACTTTTATGTAAATAACTATTTCCAGAAATCGTTATGAAACCTTCATTTTCATGTGCCTCAAAGTTTAGTTTCCATGACAGTGGCAGTAAGACTTTACTAGACTAGAACCGCAAATGTCTTGGTGGTTAACATACCATCTAACCCACACTAAACAAAACTCGCCGGTAAACCAAGTTGAATTATTTAACGTGCATATCTGTAAAATCACCAAGATTTTAGAGAGCATCTCTCAGATCTCACAAATAATTTAGAAAGAACTATAGAAAGAATCTCTGAATTTCTGAAGTAGCGGGGAAACATTTCTGGTTGATCTTTGAAGAATCCTTCTGAGAAAGCTTTGAGTGATCTCTACTCTACTCTTATGAACTAATAAAAATGTTAAAAGTAAAGAACTTGTTCGAAGATTTTATGAGTGCACGTACGGCAATTTTTGTTTTAGAAAACGTTATCGGTCCCAATTCAAACTTTGTTGTCTTACATCTTTGCGGCATTTTTTTTCAAAAACGCGGCCTTTGGATTCGGCGATAAGACTTGTTACACAAATTTCTTTCATATGCAATCGAAGATTACACTAAAATGTCTGTTTGCGGCATTCATATTACGAGTTAGCGGTTCTCCTTTGAAAACAGTAATGGTGTGATAAAATTAATTCGTTTATTACTTTAGATAGAAACCGTCGATTTATAGTGACACGATTTAGATAAGACTATCGATTCACTTATTTACTAATAAACGCCAGCGACCGCATTCTGGACCATTCGCAAAATCTGGATATAGTATAGGAATCATGACATTGGTACCTACCTAGTCTGCAAAATGGTAGGAATGTTAAAATTGCATCACATGAATATACAAACTACTTCGAAGTAGAGAATACAATTCCAATGTGGAATCATTAATGAACCTACAGTACCTATGTGTACAAGGTGAAACACCTAAGATCCCTCGGATCATAATTCATTTACCATAAGATACCGAACAAAGTCTTTTAGAGCAAAAGTGTACGCAATTACCACCAGCATGTTTCTAAAATATTTTTGATCACCAAGGGCGTGCCGTATTCAAGTAGCGTATCAAACTTGCGCTTTTTTTAATGGAACACCGCATATTTTATTACCGATTTGAACCGTACCTACTTGAAAAATACTTATTTTTTATATAACATGTTACCTATACCCCTAACTTTAACAATTTCGTGTTATAACCTTTTTTTGTCAAAATTTGACAGTTTTTCGAAAATTTTTGGAGTGAAACTAAATAAAGTTTGGAACCGAGGCATAGGTTAAGACCTCTTCTACAGTCACATAATTTTTTTGTAGGTACTTTATCGAAAGTACACAGAAGACTAAATCATTCTGTAGTATTTAAATTCATCGTCCTAATTGTCAAATAAGTTGTTGTTGCAAACTGCTAATAATAGGAATAGGTAAGTATCAGTATGTTATTGATTATGGATTTAAGTCATGAATGGACTTTGTATGACATTGCTGATAGCAGTAAAACGCTTATCAAAGAGATTACATGACCCATAACAAAAGTTAAAATTTTATGGCCACCTATCCAATTAGCAACACTTGAATCAATGACATACCAGGCATTGGTTGGATTGGATGCTATTTATTTTAATAGCCGTATCTAATTCAACTAATAGCATTGTTTTTATTTATCAAAGGCAAGGAAGGCGGGTTTTCAGGGTCGGCAAAGCACGGCGGGACGGCAGAACCTGCAGAACGAGAGATAAATCTACATTTCAATGAACAGGCTGTTCTGGTAGTAGGTAGTTGGCTATGACAGACAGACGGACAAAGTGCGGACAATAGCGTTCATTTTCCTTATGGAGGAATTTTTTCTCACTCGGTTTGTATTCGGAAATCAGACTTTTGAAGTTAGACGAGCAACAGATGGACAGACGGACGAACAAAACCATCACATAATCTCATTTTTTTTCTTTCAAAAAATTCAATGAGCTAGTGTTTAATAAGTGGCAAAAACACAGTACATATGGTTTGACTATTGTATTATGTGATAAATAAATCCTCATTGGTGCAGTTTTTCTCCATTCTTTTCTAATTCAGTAGTTGCAGTTAGGCTGGCGAAATTGTTATATTATCTTCTGTATTTGGGCACTTTTCTCGTAAAGGTACCATCTCCTTTACCTGATTCGCGTCTTTCTTATGCTCAGTGTAAAGCCACCTAAACATTAAACGTTGTGAAAGCGCTCCCTTTATTGTTTTACGTACCAAAACATGAGAGTGGAAGGGAGAGAAATCAATCCTCCTGCAAGAAAAAATGCACCAGGTAAGGTATTAATCGTCGCTTTGTACAACATGGTATAGGTAGGCCCGTAAACCAATGGCATTAGCGCTTCACAAACACCAAATAACGAATACACTTTACCTAAAATTAGTGCTGGTATAAATAAAATTCTAACAAGCGCTATTGATTTATCGTTTTGTCATTAAAAATTAAGTTCGGACCGCACCATGTGAGATCTAAATAATGTTTTAGAACCCGAGCCACTGTGATATTATCTACGACGATCCTGCCAATTTCAGCGTAAACAAAAACCTAAACCACTCACACCACACTTTCTTGGTCTTGAAATTGGATTTGCTTTTGGATACAATTCCATAGTTTTAAATTTTTTCATTGTCACTAATTAGAGATACCGTGTTACCTCAAAATCTGGCTCGAAGTATAAACTTTTAACGCAGTAGATACGTGACGTAATTGTAGTACTATTGTCCATCTTTATCTTCTACTTAGAGTATGATAAGGTGATCCAAATTTGTAAACAGTAAACAAGCGACAAATAGGTAACGTACCTAATTCTTCCGGTTCGACTAACTTGGAAATCAAAGACTTTACTGCTATGTACGACGTACCACTGAAAGATTCCATTATCGTCCCTATAATAATATACTAGAGTTATTTCAATAGAAGACCGCATTTATTTAATTGCCTTACCCAAATAAAATATGGTAGTATTTGGTGCAAATGCGTAGACTAGCGAAGATAATGCTTTGCTTGAGCCTGATATTATTCCAATGAGTGAATCGTCCAGTTTTAAGCATTTTGAAAAAATGGACAACGAAAATATGGTAACTGCAAAAGTAATACAGGGTGGACCAATTAAATATGTCAAAAAAATTGGGTCGCAGGAGACCAAAATAATTCTTTGGGGCGCTAGAATGACAACACCATTGGCGTGTCTGTTAATTTTTTGCTGCCGAGTGTAAAAACTGCGGTTGGCCTACATATTTTGATAAAAAATTGTTGTTAGTTTAAATTATTTGCCTGTATAAAAAGTAAATTTAAATTCAAATTTAGGCAGTAATGGATTGGTACATGATAAAAGATTGGTGCTTACGTGGTGAGGTGATGCATCTTAGTACAAGAATCAACGCATTCATACAAGATTATTATAAAATTACAAATGCAATTGAGTAAAAAATGATTTTGAAAGAAATTTAAAAATGAGAGAGTTAACGCTTGTATATAAACGTCATAGAAATCTCTTACCTGTAAGCGACCTTTACAGAGAATCCCTTTTGTGACAAAAATAACAAATACTAATACGGAAAAGTACCTAAAAAATCCGGAGGTATTGCTTCCACTTCCCATCTCCAATTCAACCACAATCCTTTAGTTAAGTACAAATAAACGAAAAACTGTATTTATGCTCCAGTATATTCACAGGATATTTCATTTCTAACTTTGGCCCCTTCGTAAAACAGATTCATATTCAGTAACTTTCATTTCTTCTCCCATAAAACGGTTGTTTCTGTTGAAATACAGCCACCTTAAAGGAAGATATAAGCTGTACTGATTAAAATTGTTATCCAACTTACGAATACAACAAGATTGCAGGTATCGTCAAGAAAATTCCAACGTAAAATGACGCAGAGAATATGTTAAGTGTCGCTGTATAGAGAGCGCTGTACACAGGTACATATAACAAAATCGTTATAGATTCGGCGACCCCAAGTAAAGAATTCACTTTACCTTAAAAGAAATAATGGTCGCAATTATTTACAAAAGCATCAATGTACCTACCTAAATCTTTCTCGTCAACTAACTTTGTTATTATCGATCGAGATGCTATAAATGAGGTTCCGTTAAATGCTTCAATAAGGGTTCCTTAAAAAAACTATACGCTACCTATATAGAATAAGAAAGACTTCTCTGCCAAGATAAAAACAATTCCTCCGCATATTTTACTTCCACTAGAAATGGCTCCTAATATAGCATCATCAAATTTCAACCACTGCGAAAATATTAATAGAGCAGAAAAATTTCCTTAAAAAGTTGTTTCATATTTTCGTGTGGAGAATAAAAATGGGCTCGCAGATACTCACCCATTAGATGAGCCACAGAAGTATAACCGAAATAAATGCTATAATGAATTTCATCCCAGTTAAATTTAAGTCTTGTATATAAATAGATGAGTGTGCCTTCCCCTACAACGGCAAAATTTAGGTTTATACGGTATAACGGTACGAGCTAAATGTAAAACTTACCCACAAAGGGCCCAAGTATTAATATGGCCAAAAAGAGTATTACGAAAATCTGTTTCCTTTGTATAAGACGATTTGGTTTCACAAGGAAGTGGAAAGTAGACAGGGTCTTTTTAATATTAACAATGTCTTTCATTAGTTCGTATTTCGTACGAGTTTTTTTCTCAATGGGCGCCTCTTCCTTTACTTTGTAATATGCATACAGTCCTGCTAATGCATACAAAACTAGCGACAACGTACTCCATAAAATCCTATGCCTTTATAAATCACACCGCTTAATGCACTCCCAATTGTTAAACATATGCAAATTATGGTATGCACAATTCCTATCCTAAATGTTCTATCTTCAGTATTAGTAATAGATGAGACATGAGTGAACACACCAAGAACTAGTATGTGGGAACCTCCTCTGTCATCGCCGTGGGCAGGACTTCGGCAAGAGTATTCACTTCCATTGGTAATTCGTAAAAATAATAAAAATAAGTGCAGAAGATGAATGCGACGTTGGTAATTACTTCACCGATAATAGACAAAAGTATTAAAACCTTCCTAGTCTTATTACGATCACTCCACGAACCCAACAATGGCAATAACATCGCAGGAAAAACACCATACACCGCACAAATTTCCAAATATACGCCGACGCAACGACTTTTTGTACGGCGATTTCATCGGTATCGTTATAGCCTGAACGGTCCCGTTGGTGAATAGCATCACATACTGAGTCACTCATGTTAAGATTAACTCTGCAAGACTTTTCCAAACTTAAATTTTGTATTGTCAACGCCGACATATGGAATGGTAACATGAAAAGTATTACAACTGGTTCCACTGTCATATCCTTCTAAATTCTGTACAAAACTTCGTTTCTCTTTATAGGTATTAGGTACTTTCATGTTTGATTCCATTACAACAGGTCACTTGACTAGAACAAAAGGGAATTAATTTATTGTTTGAGGCAATGTACTGTACAACTATCTTCGCCTTGAGAGCATTTAAGATTTTATTTCACTCTGGGGACTCAATTTACAATACAATACAATATTACAGATTTTTCTGAAATAAAGAACTTGCTAACAAAAACATATTATCGGGGAAAACGTTTCGCAGCTAAGTAAATAATTAGGTATAGGCACAGATTGTATAGGTAACAACAAATACCGAGACGAATTTTTTCAACATTTTCAGGAGATTACGGTATTTACGTTTAGCGACAACCTTTAAGGTGGCGTTTACAAAAAGTACAAAAGTAGCCTTGCGATTTCCTTAATACCTTTGTTTCGAGGTAAAAAATGAACTTTTGATGATTATTTTAGTGACAATTATTAGTTTTTTTTATAGTTATTTATGGTATAAGTGTGTTATATTATATTACAAATAAGTCACGCGAGAAAAAAGTAAGCCCACGAGGCCGTCAGGCCGAGTGGGGTTATTTTCTCAAGTGACTTATTTGTAATTAACACACGTGCACCATACAAAACTTTATCCAACACCTCCTCAAGCTGGTTTAAAACGTGGAAATCTTAAAAACTGCGTGTTCCGCGAAAAGCTAGAGTGCATGGAATACAAAAGCAATAATTCGTTGCTATGGGGAATAATAAACAACAAAAAATTTAGTCAGAAAATTTATATGGATTTACTTATGGTTCCTGTACTTTATCTTGCTAGTGAGTTATTTTACGTCCATAACTCATTAGTGGGTTATATTATACCTTACTCGTTTAATTTCGTCATGATAATGACTGGATAACATAGAGGTGTTGGATAAAATAATTAAACATAAATAAAGGTTGGCAAATGAAATTAAAATGGAAATTATTAATACAAAATTTATAAATTGCTAATAAAAAAATTATCCAAGAGAAAATTATTTAATCAGCAAAAGTAAATTAAAATATAGGTACCTACTTCAAATAATCAATGATATTTTGACAATCGCTATTTATACACCTGCATATAACGAAACACATATTTTGCAAATACAAACCATGGTTTTCGTGGATACAAGTTACCATACCTATCTCTCTTTCATAGTCGAATAAATTGTAAACAATTACTGGAGGATATGTTTGTACCGTAACTCCTAACAAAGTAAATATAAAGCATTAGATGTTATCATTAAATTTAAATCGAAACTCAGATACAAATTTTCCAAAGATGATAGAGTGTACGATATCCAACGATGCAGCACTTATACATACTTTTTTCCACTCAATCTACTCGTATCGCAACGACTTATAGAATGGTAATGCTGGTAAAATTCGACAAATATTTTCGCCAAGAGGTTGAGCGGCCAAATGGCTACTTGTATGTATTTCGTTATATACAAGTGTATAAATACCTACCGATTGTAAAAATATACGGATCATTGATTATTTGCAGTATATTTTAATTTGCTTTTACTCATTAAATCATTTTCTCTTGCATGGATACGTAGCTTTGCATGTTATTTTTCCACCAACTTTTTAACAATTTATGAACTTTTTATTAATAATTTCCGTTTTAATTTCATTTGCGAACCTTTATTTATGTTTAATTCTTAAAAACTGAAAGTTATTTAAAAAGATATTTCGAAATAAATAACACATTATTATGGTCACTTTTTTCTCTCTACAAGATGATAGTTTCAAATTTTAAATTCGATGTTTCGTCTCTGGTTAACCATCATCAACTTTGATTTTTCTTATGGAAGTAATTTTTACTTTTTGGGTCATTTGATAGAGAATTCAAAAGAAACAAATTTCAAATTTTTCAATGTAAACGCCACCTTAAAAGTCTCACACTAGCAAACTGACTTAACGAGTAAAATATAATGATTTCCCAAAAAAAAATAATTATAAATATGTCTAATATACAGGGTGATTCCTATAGTACCTGCCACCGTTTGGGAGTGTATAGGGGGTGCCTAGGGGAGTATTTTGATATGGGACACTTGGGGTCGGAAATCTAAAATAAGGGCGCCAGAACCAAATTTATCTTCTGGAATTTCACGCCTGTATGTAGGCAACCCAACCGACCGACGTTTCGCGCGGAGCGATGCAGAGCGAGTTAGCGCGAGGAAGCGACATGGGAGGGAAGGAGGGAAAACGACAGTCAAAAGCAATAACGTTTACAAGTGTTCAACGTGGCCACCGTTGTTCTCAATGCACTTCCTACATCTAGCCAACTATTATTATACTATTGCCATAGTGTTTATTCACTTGATACGCGTCGTTGCAGACGGGATTTCGTGGGTTTAAACAAAATTCTGATCAAGTGTCAGCCACACATCGCCGCCTGAGATCGCTCCGTGTGCACCGCCGGCCGGTTGGGTTGCCTACCTACAGGCGCGAAATTCCAGAAGGTAAATTTGGCTCTGGCACCCTTATTTTAGATTTCCGACCCCAAGTATCCTATATCAAAATACTCCCCTACGCACCACCTACACGCTCCCAAACGGTGGCAGGTACTATAGGAATCACCCTGTATAAAAGTACATGGGTACAATCACCAGGTGCCCACAAATAATGCAAAACCAGATTAAGACATACGTAACATCATCAACAAATACAAAAATAAATCACCTGAATCACAGATTAACCACTTGTAGTTAATTTGTGCCTGAATTAATGCAACAAGAAGAAGCACTGAACACCAAAAAACAAGTGCAGCTTTCACTATTTTTTCTTGAGTTCACACGCTGCTCTCCCACCGGGCGATCAAGTTTGCCCCACAACTGAAACTGCTTCTATTTCATTCTTAATAAGTAAATTAGGCTTTAAATAATAAGATATGATACAAGTTATTTGTATGATGATGTGCCTTATAAACGCGTTTGCGTCTTTTTTCACAAACATATGAAATGTCGAAATATGGGAAATTTTGTAGTAAGCACGCTTTTTATTACGAGGTATCTCTAAAAATGTAACATTTGCGAATAAGTTAATTAAATAAAGAAGAACTTCTTTACCCCAGATGTTGATTCGCAAGTAACGTAGTCACGAGTGAATTAACATTCACAAGATGGTCTCTCGTTATCGTCGTGATAGGTAATATAAATATTTGACTTGACTAAGAGTAGCCAAAACTGTTATTTACTCATTGAACAGAAAACGTGGAAACACTTAGGAGTAGTTAGGGCCTAGGACAGAGAAAGTGCCTGCAATATGCACCCAACTGTGTTGGAAAATACGCTAAAAACGAGGGCATATTACCAAACTATGCCGTCAACGAAGGAAGAAACTAATAAGTCAATCTAAAAAAGACCTTAGTACCAAAATAAGTAATAATGAGGGCCGCTTGAATAGTCGCACTCGCATGCATGGGATGCATGCAGATAAATTAAATAGAAATGTTAAGGAAGTAAGAAATAATCTTAAGTTAGTATCATTTTAAAACAGAATAACGATTAAAAAATGGGTTTTACGCAATGGTGCTAAACGAGATTGCTTCACCTGTCGATTACTGATTGGGTAAATAATTTGCAAATAGTTCAAAAGTCAAATGGCAAATTGCGAATCCGTCCCAAACCAAGGCATAAACATTACTTAATACTGGCGATTATAAAATGTAATGTTTATTTAATTTTATGTTTATGTAATACTCATGTTTTTATAGTAATTGATCTTACACGTAGGTTTTGGCACATAACATTGGACCAAACCTTTATAAGTAGAACCATTGAATAAAAACACAATTTACTATTTAACATTAGAACGTATAAAGGGTGTCAAAATTAGAGTCCATCTTTCTTAAACTTTAATCCAGATGTTTAAAAGTCCGTAAATCTTTTTTTAGTCATTGAGTTCTGTAACGAGTTCCGGCTTGGCACCGGCCTCTCCAGCATTTACAGTAGATAGAGTATAATATCTCATAATTAGGCCTACACGTGCCCAAAATTGTTGACTAGGAAGTGCGTGACAAGATTTAACTGACTGAAAGTTCTGGGGAAAGCAACATTTCTATTTTCTCGTGAACTATTCATGGGAATTGCTTTCCTTGACCATTCGCCTATTATAGAGTTACGTTTCTGGTACCATTCCGGAAATTATTTCATTTGTTAACTAAGCAAATTCTTGGGATATTGAAAAAAAAATCCACAGTCCGTCGATTTGCAAGAATCATTGGGACAATTTTTGGAAAAGGTTGTTTTAAGGTTCCATGCATCTATAAAAAAAATTAAGAAAGCTCTGGGAGTCACCCAGTTTGAAAGACAAATCATCGTTTTTTTAACTTGTTTATTTAGTTAATCGATCACTATGAAACTTATGGCGATCGCGTTTGTCATATTGCTTTGTTATCAAAAGAAGTGACCAAATTTCGAAAGAATCGAATAAATTTTACTTAGTAATGACAGATTTAGTGTTTAAATCTGTGGTAATAACAAATTGTTCATTTTCGGGATCACTTTTTTTTCTATTTTTCATAAAAAAACAATAACATTTGAAAATGAACGTTCCATACCAACTGTATCTTATAGAAAACTCACAAGGTAGCGAAAAGAAATTTGAAAAAAGTTAAGCCGTTTTCTCGTAATCGCAAAGACTGACGGGACAGACGGCCTAATCGGACTGGCATGACGAAATTAAAACGCAAAACCTTTTTTTAAATTTATTGTAGAGTGCTTAGTCACGATTTCTGTTCTCTGGTGAAAATAGCTCCCTACTTTCCGGAAATTTGAAATCTTCTTCCACAAAACGTTCATTTCTTTTTGAATACAGCCACCTTAAACAAAGAAATGAACTGTTGTACTGCTAAAAATATAAACTTCAACTTACAAATACAACAAAATTGCAGGTATCGTCAGCGTGATTCCTAGAACATAAAATGACGCAGAAAATATGTTAAGTGTTGCTTTATAAAGTGCGCTGTACATAGGTACGTATAACAAGATTGTTAAAGATTCGGCGATGCCAAATAAAGAGTTCACTTTTCCTTAAAAATATATGATCACAATTAATTACACAAGAGTTAATACACCTACCCAAGTCTTTCTCTTCAACCAACTTTGTTATTATCGAACGAGATGCTACAAATGAGGTTCCATTAAATGCTTCTATTAGCGCACCTTTAAAAAAACGGTAAAAAGTGTGAACAATGTAGTACACTGGGTACTCTACCTATATAAAATACAAATGACTTCTCCGCCAGCATAAAAACAATTCCTCCACATATTTTACTTACACTGGAAATTGCTCCCAATACTGCATCATCAAACTTCAACCATTTTGAAAATATCAGTATTGCGGCGAAATTTCCTATAAAAAAGTTTACAATGTCGTTCTTCGTACGATCTCTTATACAACTGAACTGTTTGATTTAAAACGAACTCGTTTCGCGTTTAGCACGTAG